GCGTCTGTGCGTGTGTGCGTGTGTGCGTGAGCATGTGCTTGCGACGAAATAACGCGGCGTATGCATGATTTTCAATTCGTTTTGGGCGGACGTGTGTTTTTAGCATTTCGCGTTGTTGCACGCAAATTAAAGTGCAGGCAAGCAGAAATTCAATCTCTTATTTGGTGATTGTGTTTTTTTTTTTTGGTCGATTTTCAAAAGTCCCTTCATTTTCGTACTCCGGCTGTTTTGAATTAGGGAAAGCGCACGTTTTATTGTTTGTTTCAATTGCCTGGCTGACGAGCAGGACGAACGAACGAACGAACACCCGGCTCAAGAAGGACGAACGTAATCAGCAAATGTGCCAACCGGCGAGCAAATTTCAGGTTTTGGCCCCAAAAGCAAAATTAGTTCAATTTGTTCAAAATCAAGCTAACGTCTGTACGTATACGGATGTGTGTCCTAATGTACCAGACAAAAGTAGCAGACAAACCAAAAAAGAAGATAAAATAACCAAAAAAAAAAACATAGAAGATGCAGAGCAAGAGAAGCGACTAATTCTATTTAGCATTCGGCAGAACGACTATGACGTTGGCTAACTGGCATTATTTTTATTTTTGTTTTTCCATTTTGTACGTAGGTCCTGTTCGCAGCCGTGCAAATGAACTCCGGCTAATTACTCAATGCAAATTAAAATTCATGTCAAGCAGATTGGATTATCCTCACGCAACATTAAATGTCGCGTTTAGCCAGGCAGCAGGAAAGGTGTTTTTCCATTTTGCCTTTGCTCTTTTAGTTCTGACGAGTTTCGCGCAAAATGGACAACTCGAATCAGGAGCGGAAAGGACAAAGGTGGGGCAAATGGAAGGTAACGAAGACAACGCTTCACAGCGTTCAGAGGGTGGAAGCGCAGCGCAGAGAAATCTCTTTTGAAATGCTAATGTAAAAATTCTTTAAAGAAAATTACGCAATACATTATTTTGGTTTATTTTGCATTAAAAGTCAATTTAGTGTTAAGGCACAACAACAACAAAAAAGGGAGAAAAAAACATGCGAACAGCAGAAAAAAAGGGCAGCTAAGCGGGCGCCCCAAAAAACAAAAACAAAAGCAACAACAACAACAACAACACAGCGCAGCGCCACAAAAAGGAGCTGTAGAGCGTAAAGAGCGCAACAGGATTGGGCACGGATACGGACAGGGAGACGGAAACGAGCCAGGCTTTCCAGGCGTGAACCTGGACGCGAACCGGCCGGGCCATGACAACGCAACTAACTACAGTTTGTGCCCGACGTAAATAACAAACGACCGAAAGTTAGCATTTTTATTTTGCATTTTAAGTTGATTTGCCGGCTGCGTGCTGAGCGTAGTGTCAACGGCACTCAGTCCGTAGACCCGAACAGAGCAGGCATTAAAAAAAAACCAAAAACAACAACAAAAGAAACAGCCAAACACACCCACACGTTCACATATTCCACAGATGTGAGAGTGGGCAATGGTGGACGGTGGGCAAAATGTGCCACATACTGCTCAGTACCACTGTAGATTTTGAAAAAATAAAATCTGTATCTCATGGGGAGTATTGATGTAAGCTTCTAATTGTTTTTATCATTATTTCTGTGTTACACTATTAAATTTATATTCGTTTTCGTTTTCCTATCATTAATTTATTTACAATTTTATTTTTTCTCACTTTCATTTTGTTTGATAATTTGTTTTTGAAGCTGCGTTATTCTTAAATTTCGGTCGCGATGTTCGTTCAACCATTTGGGGCAAATGGGATTATGAGCCTTAAACACTTCATTTCACAATGTGCAACAAAAACATTATTATGGCTACTTTGGTGCTTTTTTATTTTTTTGCGAATAATTTATTTTTATTTTTACAATTTTTTTCAACATTTTCCACCATTGTGCATTTGTGTCCTTTTTTCGTCTTATGCTTTGCGTGGGGGCTGCTGCGGCACGCTGCTCTTTATCTATTAAAACGCCTTCCAATTTGCATATTTCTGCAGCTGTAACAGCTGTCAACGCTGGACAGTGATGATGGCGGCGGCGGCGGCGGCGGCAGCGGTCCCGACTGCGACGCCGGCTGAGCAGCGGCGTAGGACTTATTGTAACAGCAAACGAGGAGCAGCTCTTAAGATAATGTACTCCATCCTCTTCCCCCACACGTACTCTCTGCTCAGCTGATGAGTGCGAAGCTTCTCGCGCAAATTAAAGCTCTCGTCTGCATTTACGGGAGAGAACATACTAAAAAAAAATGCAACAATCGTGTGGTTAATGTGCTCGACGAGAAGATATCCCATGCTTGACTTTGAAGAAAAAAATTGTTGTAACATTATTGCAGGGAGTTAGAATAAACAAGGTAACGCAATTTGAATTCTCTGAAGAACAACTCTGAGCTAGCAAAGCATAGAAAAACAAGATTAATCGAATATTATAAAGTATTTTTAGACATAACTGTACAACATACTTATCGCATTTTACTGTGAATGCAGGGTATGAAAGAGAAGGAACACTTAACAATGCGTTTGTCCAGTTCTATTAATGACCTATAATGCATAGCATATTAGCTGGGAGGTCAAAGCAAATGGAATAAAAACTGTATTGTGCATATGGCATTAAAAATGAATTGCGTAATTTTGTAAAAAGTTCGTTTAGTTTGATTGTTAACAACAACATGCTCCAAAAATGTCTTCTGTTTTCATGGATATTGTGTTTGCGGAAGGGCATTTGTATAGTCGAAACAGCGGCATCCACTTGACTATTTTATTTTATTGTGTTTCTCTGTTCGGCTTGTTACGCTGTCGCATTACCTACATCAAGTGTCACTTTAAAACGCATTTTTCTTTTCGTCCGGCCCCGTCCGGCCCCTCAACCCCTCAACGCTTCAAGTACTGCTCAAAGCTGTCGGCACTGTGCTTATCTAAGGGCTATTGTTTGGTATGCCCGTCGCGGCGCTTGTAAACAATTCCATGCACATTAAGTTCCAATTAAGTAACATTCAAGCCGAATCGCTGGCCGTCGCCGGTTTGTTGCCGTCGTCTATGGGTAAATTGCGGTTTGTTTGGTTTTTGGGTGGCAGCAGCACCTCCTACACCAACAGCAGCAGCAGCAGCAGATTGCTTTGTTAATATTAATTTGTCATTAATTTCAACGACATCAGCTTACAAGCAGCTCGTTTAAAATGCATTGATAAGCCAAGTGGCCTGGCTGCCAGCTGTTTTCCTACACACCCGGCCAACACACACACACACAGCCATCAGATAAGTTTAATGCGCTTTAAACTGTTTGGCTACGGCTTGGGGGCTGTCTTTGTGAGTGCTTTGCAGCAGCTCCTTGGTCAAGTCAAGTCCTTTTCAAAACTAAACACAACTGTTGCTTGCGCTCTTGTACGCTCAAAGGGTGCGAGCTTTTTAGTTGCGGCCTGACCGCGACCGTTTTCTTCTCGTCTTAACCTGTCTATCTAGCCATCAGTTAATGGCCAATCTTTTTTAATACCCTACAAAGCCAATGATTCAACGGGTCTACTGCCGTGGGCGCATAATGTATATATATATATAGTTAAAGGATAAGCAAATACAATGAGGGATATTTGAAAAACAATTTGATTTTCTAAACAAATATGCGTTGTATATCATAAGAGAACCTGTGCCATAGAACTCTTAAGTTGTCATCTTGTCAGCCGTGGTTTGAGTGTTTGCTAGTCAAATTGCTAGACTTTCGTACTGCCAAAGGATAAGCTGCTAATGTGTTCTTGGAAGCAACCTTTTTTTTTGCATAGCGTTGAACTATGCAATAGTAAATACTCAACTGGAAAGGTCTTTATTCAGCGCTACTTTGTACAACATTTACATGTAAACAAGCAGTCCAGAAGAATGCATAAAGCTTATGTTGCCTAGCAGGTTCACAGCCATTCAGATAGCCAGTGAGCCACGCAATGCCAGCTTAGCTTCACTTGGCTACAAAATATTCTGGGCAAAGGCTTTGACCATTCTGGCTGGCAGCGCATAAAGGGCACGCATAGTGCGCTCTCTCAATGCAGCCGCAGCAGTCAAAAGCTGAAAGGGACCACTCTGTTACCTTTCAATGGGCAAAGAAAAAAAAATATATATATATAGAAAAAATAGAGGTGTTATCTGATTGCCATTTTAAACACAGCTGGCGGCGAGGGCATTTAAAAGCCGAGCAAAACAAATACGCGCACATAAAAAATTAAATCACATGCATAGACTATTCACTGGATACACTGAAGAGCTGCTCAAAGGGGCATTAAAAAGAATTGCACACAAAGTATTTGCAGTTGCAAAGTGGCAAATAGATGCTGGCAATTGCAAATTCTGAAATTCTCGGTATTTTCCAACCACAAGTATCTTTCGTATATATGTATATATGTTATTTGAATAGTTGGTCAGCTAATGATGGAACCAACTGGATAAGCATCGGATCTTAGGCCACATGCTAACAATAAAGTATTTCGCTGGCGAAATGTTTTGAAAAGTTCAGCTTACAGTATGCTTAAATTTGCAATTCGTTTATAGCTTCAATGCAAATAAATGTTCTTTAAAAACTCACTTCAATCATTAGGTAAGAGCATTACAGCTTTATCAATGCTCACATTCTAGCATTAGTCTCAGCTTCACCTCCTTTGCAATTGGTCTATCGCTTTGACCAAGTCTGTTTGCTTTCACGGTGCACGGAGAGGCGGACTGAATGTTTTAAGCTTGTGCAGCTGTGCGTATGAGCAATGCAACTTGACTGAAGTCACACTAATTAAATGGCACTACACAACTTGGACTTACGACATGGATAATGACGCTCCGCTGGCGCCTTGCTGACACAGTGCTCTGCAGCAGTATCGGTAATTAAAATCTAAAAAGGATACAGCTCTTCCTGTCTGCCGTTGCAGCCGCGTGCCTCACACTCATTCTCCAAGTAGCCCGCTGGCACTCGCTGCTATTTGCTTAAGCTGTAGTTATCGCCAGCTGTGCGTTGCATGTGTGCGTGTGTGTGTGTGTGTGTGTGTGTGTGAGTGAGTGTGCCACAACCGAGTGCTCTTGTTAACGTTGGGGTAAGCAAATAATGAGGTGAGCCACACGAGCTTTTAATGAATGAAAGCAGTAATCGTTTTGAATTGCAGAGCATTTAAGCGTGTCAAAGGAACAGGACATGGTGCACAGGACATTGGACATCAGGTAAATACGCTAGCGAATAGCTATTTAGGTAAAACATTTGGACTCAATTTTCCACCATTAATCTATACACATATATTTTGATTGACAATTTGATTTTACATGAATGGCGATAGCTGGGAGAGGCCGAAACTGCCGGAGAACGGATATCCAAAACTATAACCATAACCGTAAGGACGACCATAATATCCGCTGCCCAACAGGCCGCCGCCGTACGTACTGCCATAAGGATAATAAGGATTACGCATGCCAGCACCATATCCTCCATATCCTCCATATCCACCATATCCACCGTAGCCGCCATATCCACCGTAGCCGCCATATCCGCCATATCCTATGCCTCCAATGCCTCCAATGCCTCCAATTCCTCCAATACCGCCCCCATAGCCGCCAATGCCACCCAATGCACCGCCATAGGCTCCATACCCGCTGCCATAATTCGAGGGATAGCCTCCAAGGCCGATTTGTCTGGCAACGCGTGCTCCGCCCGCCGCCCCTGACTGTGCCTCCGGCCTGGCCGCATCCTCCTCCTTCAGGGGCTGGCCAACTGTTGCGTCCAAGTGGCAGGCGACGATTAGCAGCGCATATAATCCAAATAAGGCGCAGTTCCGCATTGTGCCGGGACTCCTTAAGCTGTTTACCTAGCGAGCTGCTTGAATTTGTGTATAGCTGTTGTTATGTGGTGACCGTGTGGTTTGTGCGTTCGTGTGGTGCTGTGTGGTGCAGCCAACTGTGACCCGGCCAGCAAATGTTTTGGCCATTTATAGCCTTAGAACTTTGCGCATAAAATAGAAACTTTTGTTTCGCTTCTTTTTTTTTGTGTTGTCGCTTTTTGTTGTTGTTGTTGCTTGTTAGCGAAATGAGACGCTAATGTAAACGTCATAAAACAAACTATTTAAATATGCGATTGCGGCCAAAATGGAACAAAAAGCCAATTCATGTGGCCCGGCCAGCAGCTACCAGTTGCCATTGGGCCGCACGCTAAGTGGCGTTCATGAAATCGAATGGCTCGCTGGATGTTTAAAGGGCAAAACATTTCACTTTGCGCCAGGTAACTTCAACTTTTGCTTCCGTTCCCGTTCCTGTTAACCTTAACCAGCGCTTGCGGTCAGGTAAGCTGTGCAAATGTGCTAATTTCATTTGAAGGTTAGTTATGCTATTGACCAGGCCAAGACCCCTTGGGCCGACACCGGGCGTACCGCACAAGGCTCGCCGCACGCACACGTCATAAGCTTCAACTTTTGGTGCGTAAGTGTAAATTGCTGTTTGCTGTTTGTTGTTTGTTGTTGTTGTTTGTTGGTGTTGGTGTCGGTGTTGCTGTTGTTGTTATTATTGCTGCTCTTGCTGTTGTTTGCCTATATGCCAGCTTGTTTGTTCGCGTGTTTGTTTTTGTTTGGCTAGCTGTTTGTTTTATGCGCGACCTGGCCATTAACAATGCTCGATGGCTCTATGCTTCTTGCCACTTTGCCACTTTTTTTTTCAAAAATTCTATAGCTTAAGCCAAATCCACAGGCAGCGCCATCGCATCAATTTTTATTCATTTATGCAAAATGATCGCCTCATCGCAGAGTTGTTGTTGTTGTTTAATTTGCTTATTCAAATTTAAACGTTTTAAGCCAGTTCAAAAAGTGGGTCAATTAACGACGTCAACATCAATAGCTGCACATTTTGGTGTGTCAGCCTGGGCCAGAAATCTATACCATCCAAATTCAGCTAGGCTAGTCGTCACCAGCGGTCAGCATACAAGCCAGCTGCATAAATTAGCGTCGGGCCAAAACAAAAAACAGTTTAAATTAAAATTGCATACTAGTTGTGGTCTGGTCAAATGCACAGATAGAGAGAGAGAAAGAAAGAGAGAAATATAGAGGAAAAGGGAGAGTGGGAGCGAGGGAGAGAAAGAGAGAGGAGACAGATAGGGAGAGAGGGATAGAGAGAAAGCCAGAGGGAAAGGGCGAAAACTCTAGCTAGAGAGAAAGTGAAAGAGAGAGAGAGAGCGAGGGAAAGATAGAAGAGAAGGGAGAAACATAGATAGAACGAGAGATTAGGGGAAGAGAAATAGAGAGAGAGAGAGAGAAACATAGGTAGAGAGAGAAGGAGAGAGACAGAGAGAGGAACAAAGAACGAGAGGAGAAGAGAGGTAGAAAGAGGGAGAGAAATGGAGGTGATTAAATACAGTTATATGGCTTAGAAGTACTTTGATGGAACAACTTTATTTTAAAGCGATTACTTTTATAGCGACCATATAATAACTAGTTTTGCAGATGCATATGTTAAGAATAGTAGTGCTTAGTTTGGTTCAAATATCTTGAATAACAGAACAGTATTCCATACAAAAACTCAACCGCTTGTTCCTATACAACCAAATGATATAGTAGTCCGTAAGATTTTGTTCTTGTATAAGATTTATTTGTTAGATATATTAGGGAGAGTAACAGGATCAACAGGCGACTCTGTCTGTACGATCGCGTCGATCTCAATAACTACAATCTAGTGACTTGAAATCTTGAATCCCCCTAGAAGATTAAGTTTGATTTAACTCCTTGATAAATTGTCTTGAATCCATGCAATCTCGATATCGAAATCTGGGTCTGAGAGCAAGTATAATATAATATTTCACTTACCAATTGAAATCCTGCTTTAGAGAATATCTCGGAACATGTATGTCGTATAGAATACACAGATCCAGAATATTTCCTTTCTCTACAAAATTGTTAGAAACTTATTTTTTGGGCTTTCCCGACTAGAGAATTCTTACTTGTTTTTATTAAATTGTTAAAAATGTATATTTTGAGCGGAAACATGTGCGTTGCCCAGTAAAGCCATTTAAATGGCTGGCTGGCAGCCAGTTGAGCAGCCACTTGACCAGCTGCCCTTGGTGCATTGGGAGGGCAACTGAGCGGACTTGTCTGGTTGCCTAATAAGTTTCCGTTATTATTATAGAGCAAGGGGCTATTGTTGTTGCTGTTGTTTACGCTTAGCTAGACAGTTAATATAAAATGCTCTACTCGGAGTATTCATTTCATTTGGGAGTTAGGGCAATGTTTATGCCTGGCCAAAAGTTTACGCAGTTTCAGCCAAACCACTTCTAGTTTTATGGTCCTGCTATCGCTTAGCCAAAGTGTTGGCGAATTCATATGAATTGGCTCAGTTCCTTTGGAAGCAGCGCCAACTTTCTGGCAATTAGACCTTGGCAAAGAAGCCGATGCTGCTCGATGCTGCTCGATGCTGCTCGTGTAGTCAAACTAAAGTTTTGCAACAAAAATCAGTAAATTAAATTTCTGTTTGATTTAAAGTAGATGCTGGTGGAGTTTAACTAATTTACCCGATTGTTAAGTCGATTGACGGCTAAGCTCAAACCTATTTGCGGCAATTACTCGGGCACCAAATCTTTTGTGCAAAAAAGCGCTTGAGGCGCTTTGTACAAAATAAAATAAATAAATAAATGCTGCTATTTATAACAAAGAAATGAATTGCACCTTATCTCAATTGCCAGCCAGGCATTTTGGTCTCAAATTGCCTCCCCCACATTTCTAGTGGGCGTTTGTCGATAAAGATTAAAGGCTGACTGTAACATTTCGCTTTTGACAAGCGGATTTTATTGTTAAAAAATTAACTCGGCTTTAAATTTACGCCTTTTGTTATCCCTTGACCTTAGCATGTTCGACACGCACACAAAAACGCACACACACACACACAAACGTTCGCCCCCGCCCACATTTATAAAAGTTTCTTTCAGCCTCTATGTGCGCTAAAGGAAAAAATGTCTTTAGATTGAAGCTATGGCCTGGCATTTCATGGCATACCCTTACAGATGCCGATGCGATGCTTTAAGAAACATTTTTTGAAAGTTTTCAAAGAATAAATGTTTGATATGCCGTTAAAAAGGATGTTCAAGAAAATTGTTTATATATTCTTGAGCGACATTCAAAAGTTGATAACAAACAAGACTCTATATGTAAATAGCTGGCCAGGGGCGTTAGAGTGTGAAAGTATCTTGACTTTCTTGCCTCGCCATGTCATATCTTATCGAGGGCGTGTCTCAATAAATCTACAGCACCTCTGTGCAATATTTGGGATGTATCCATCCATCCAGGGGACCCAACAGCTGGCAGCAGGAGCAGCACGAGCCCTACTAACTGATTATCCATGTTGTCCGAGAAGAGCAGCGGCAGCAGCTGATTGATTTGTTATTGAAAATATTAGGCCTGCTTGGAAACTGGGATCGATTTCGGCATGGTGTTGGATGGGGGGCGTGGCTGAAACGTGCTGTTGGATACGCTTGAAACTTTTATAACTTTATGAGGGCGCTGTAATTTGATATCGCAAAGTTTTTTATTGCCTTTTATAGGCTTATAATTTGGCCGCGATGCTGTTGCTGTTGCTGTTGTTGTGAGCTATTGCTGGCATTGTTGTGGCAGCAAGAGCCGGCTGGGTTGGCTGGCCCACAGGGCGTATGCTTGTTGTGGCAGCTTTTTGTTTACACGTTATTTATGGCTTATAAATACGAGTACGTCTGTTCGTAAGCATGTATCATTTACGTTTTGAGGGGCACTCGGGGGCTCAGAGGCTCGGAGGCTCGGCTTTGGGAAATTGTAAACAACTTACATGTGGCCTCTGTGCGCACGAAATCTCTTAATGAGCATTCGAATTGGCATAATGCTGACAATGAAATTTCGTATACGTATAATTGGATTAGTGGTCTGTGTACTTAGCTTATTGTTGTTATTGTTGTTCCCATTTTGTTGTTGCTGTTGCTGTTTCTTCCACGATATAATTAGCAACGAGTGAGTCCCAGAACAGGTTAGTTTTGTCATGCGGCAGGCTTACTGCTTATTCTGGCAATAGAACAACACTTGAGGTAGCAGCGAGCTCATGGCCTGCGGCTCTTAAAGGGGATTTTTCTTGGCCATTTGATAATGCTCAGGAAATTTAATTGCTCGAAAGGGTCAGCGGCTCGTTAAGAATTAACGGGCATGCCGCTGCTTCTCCCTATATAAAGAGTCAAGTTGAGTGTTTGCCACATTTCAGTAGACTCGGTGCCCCACAGCGAAGGGCAATGCGTGTGCTTCATTTATATCTAATAGTGCTAAGTGCTCTGTTGGCCATGCTGGGTGCAAGCAGCACCAGAGACGGCCTCCCAGCAGCGGAAATGAAGCAACTGTTGTTGGCGGATGTAAATCAGGCAACGGATCAGCAGGAGATGCCGGCTGTGCGCTCGGTCAGGCAGCTAGGCAACGCCCGCCGTTTTGGCGGCGGCAGATTTGGTGGGGGCGGACGACGCCGTTTTGGAGGCGGCGGCTTACCTTTTGGCGGCGGCGGTCGACGATTCGGTGGCGGCGGGCGGCGCTTTGCCCATCCTGGTTTCTATCCACAACCATTTGGATTTTTTGGCTAAATTATAAAAGTTTAATGTACATATGCGATAAGATCAAAAGTGCTTAGCAGTAAAACAAATCCAACTTTTAATTAACCAAATACCAAAGTTGTTTTTGCCTAAGCAGCGTCTCTTAAATTGTTATAAATACTCGTAAGTGGCCCTGGCAAAGATTATTATTTCCAGCGGAACGACTTAGCTATCCCATAAGATGCGCTCTTTCATTTGTCTGCGCCTGACGTCAAGTGTGCTTCCATTTGCCTTTGTTCTGGAAGCTGCAGTGGATGCGAATGCACCGCAGCTAGCGGAAATAGGGCAAGAGAATGTTGAAGAGCTGCCGGACAAGTCACAGAAAGAGGACGCCGTTGAGCGAGTGCGTCGTCAAGGCTTCGGACTTGGACCATGTTTTGGCTATAGACCTGGATGCAAGAGTCCA